ATCCTTCACAAATCACCGGTTTCGAGCGACCGGCATGAAAGTTTCAACAAAAATAGAAGCTTTCAAACGCGGATCGTGGCCGGCAATCTTTTCCAAAAGTTTCACCGCCGTCGCATCGTGTCGGCTATTTTCGCTTGATATTTTCTCTGTTTTACACCATTTTCGCTTTTTTTTTTTCTTCATTCCGCGGCAACAGCCCGAAATTTTTATCCGCTAAAAAAGTGCATCCCGACAAAAGAGCAAGTGCATTCTTTTTTTCTCTCTCCGCCAGCCGGCACGGCGATAAATCAGACGAAATATCGCGGTGAGAATGTATGGCACAGCCAGGACGTATCAAGTCGACGGAAAGAGAAAGATAGGGGAGCAATTAAGGTTATTGTCGACCCGTAGGTCGCAGCTGTGGGGAGAACAGATATGTATTTTCTTACGTTACTTATTCTTGAGACGTTCATGAATGCTGACTATTTAAATCCATGAAAAATACAGTTTAGAAATATCACCCTGGGTTCTGTGACTTCCCACATAAATTTTCGGGGGTTTTGTTCATTTTCTTTTTTCTGGTTTCAACCCCTAACAAATGACAATCTTTTCTTTCATAATTATTTATAATTCTATTTTTGTACTAAATATGATATAGCAATATTATTATCATCCGGAGCCTTTTAATTTTTAATGACTCATAGTAATTAAAAATTGTAATCAAGCTACTCTAAATTATAGCACACATGAATCGAGTTAAATTGCAAATGAAATTGCAAAAGATATTAAACCTCCGACGTTTGGTAGCTATTTCTCTAGCATTGCTTCCATGGAAAATCAAACAGCTTATAATTTATATCCAAGGAATATTGGAATACCATTTGGCCGCTGTGGTCCACCTGTAATAAATATGTAGGTGTTCTTTCATTCGTACAACACGCGATATTGTTTTGGAAATATTTTTCTGCACAAAGAAGGATGGCGTGGAACGAGCCTGTAATTCTCGCCGAAATTTTCTCTCTGTATCTCTTTTGGTGGAATTTTACTATCGACCAAATTGTCGTTGCTATCTACGGGTATCCACGGTATCAGGATAAATATTTGACGCCGAATCGATACGTATTGCCGCGTTATCACCGGGATAGTACTGATAGGTTCTGTTTCAGAGCAACGTACATACGAATTGAAAGTTACGTATAGAACGGTGGAAACGTTAGGTGCTAAAGTTCTTTCATTATTTCCTACTGTAACTTCGGTCGAAGTGCAACGCTTCCTCATTCGACCATATTCCTTTATTCAATCTTGGCACGAGAAAGAGATTTAAAATTGATGCCTCATTAAATTTAAAATATTTTCTATTATTTCTGCTCCGTTTGCTCTTTTGACTCTTCCAGATCCATTAAGGAGTAAAACCATCATGTGTAATTTAGGAAATTTATTTCTGATTGTAAGTGACAGAAATGTATTTTCATCTGTTGGGTTTTATTACCACTAATCGTGTTTGCCAAGGTGTCATTGTTAGTACCCATAAATGTCATAAATCTTCAATTTCAAATGTTAATATATGTAGTCATATTTAATTAAACCATAGAAAAGGCAGTCAAGTATTTAGGAGCAGAGTGGACTAGAATTCAATTATAATTTCAATAATTTGGAAGTTTATATACCAAATTATAAATAACACTGCCAAGTAATATGCTTGAAAGAAAATTCTAATCAGAGCAAGAAGAATATATTTGAAAAAGAAAAATATTACTCTATTTGAAAGTACTTTTAGCGAAATGTATGTAGGATTTAAAGAAGGAAGAGGTTCATTGACCTCGGTTTATTTTGCCACTTTGCACACAATACCATCGGTTTGGCAAGTCAAAGGGCGCTTATTTCCCTGTGAATTTATCGTTCGATTAATCTTGCATTTTCAAACGCTTTATTGGGCCGGTTTAGTCCGCGAACGGGACTGGTAGTAAACGTTCGGTTTGGAGAAGATTTGTTCCCTACTGGCGAATGCTGTTCATTGCTCCCCTTTAGAAATGTTTTATCGTGGAAAATCCGTCCATTTTCTCTTTTCTTCGCCATTCCTTTGCCTGCTTCTCATTCGTTCAGCTGCTACCAGTTGCTGAACATACGTTACATTCGGTCAGTTTAAACCAGGAGGTCTACTTTTCTGCGACCGTATTAAAAGTGCAACGATGCACTTTGAAATGCACTTTTCTAAAAAATCGAATTGCAAATTTCTTTTTGCCCATATAAATTCCCTTGTACATTTTCTATTAAAAAAGTGTTATAGTAAAATGTTCAAAAAATGAGCACATTAGAAAAAACTGCATTTGCATTTAAGTGCATCGTTGCACTTAAAGTGAAATGATAGTAAAGTCACAGTCCATTTTATTTTCATCTTTTTCCTTTTTGTAAAATTTATACAATTCACGGTGAAAGGGTTAAGGATGAAAATATTTTATATTGATCTGTATCGATCATCCCTGCGGCTCACACGGTTTATCTTTCTCGCTCTGAAGGATGCGCTTTACTTTCTATCCTATCGCCAGAATTATTCTTATGAGAAAGGGGGACGTTGGAGCATTTGTTAACCGAAGAGCATAGCCGGACGTTTTTACGATCGCTGAAAGCACGCCGGAGAAGACTGAAATTTACGGCACGCTCTACAGGCGTAAGCTCGCTACGTAATCCGATAAATTTTATGCATAGATCGACCAGCGAACAGAGTTAATTACAACGAACGGATAATTCGAACTCGCTTGTGCGACCGGAGCAACCGCATGAAACTTGTTTCATTCGTTTAGAATTTTCCGAACAGTGAATTTATTATGAGATCGTTGTAATTAATTACAGGATTATGGCGAATTGGGAAAGGTTCTTTCCACTCAAAGTTCAACAGAAAATCATTTCATGTTTTTTCTAACATTTTAATCCTTAATGAGAACCCTCGTCAAGAGTTAATATTTAACACATCATTAGTGTTCATTAAATTTTCCGTCACGTCACTCATATATGATTAATAGTATTATGTAATTAATACGTTGAAAAAGTCAAGCTATTAATGAGCTTTTGGACGCAATTTTGGCAGATCCAAATAATTTCCTCTATAAATTCAGATTCGAAGAGATTAATAATGGAAGTTACTGTCTAAGAGGTTGAAGAAATACATTAAACTTTAATTAACTAGGCGTTTACATTTCAATACATTATAGTGGAAGAACTGTAATGGAAAATTTTAAGTGACTAAGTAATTAAGAACTCGTGGATCTAGAAGTTAATTTTCTTTACGAGAACACTTCTAGTTTTCCGTATCAAGGACTAGCTTTTCCATTGTTTTCACAAGCTTCCCTTCACCTATTGATTGCTCGACGTACTTTAAGACCGTGTTGAGGTATAAAAAAGCAATCAGTCCGCAATCGATTTGTTTCTCAAGCAATATGGATAGATTAAAAAACAGCCCAGTGTGAATAGAGTCCCAGTTCGAATGTATATTTATTCATTCATTTATTTTCCAATACAATATTTTTGTATCCAATTTTTTTCGATGAAATCTAATTTTAAATAATTCCTTTGATTGGCATTTCACACTGCTTCATCCAAATTCCATAAAAGAGCACAAGTTACACATACATAAATCATCCATCGAATCAGAGAAAAAAAAAGTATCTCAAAAACTCTCTGTTAACAACGTCGACACAGTTTACGGAAGTGAACCATAAACAATCCCTTTGAAAATAAAGCATCTGTCGCTAATCCTTCTTCATCGACGTTACTCTTCCAGCAATAATTCAACGCCATCGATCAAATCTCATCTTGGTTGTAAATTTTCGATTTTTCCTCGTCGACTGGAACAGTTATGAATGCAGAAAGGAGAAATAAAAAAAAAATAGAGAACTCTCTTCCCACGGGAAACGGGGAGATTATTCGACGAAGCTCCGCGCGACACGTCGACAAAGAATTAAATTTTTTTCGGGAACAAAGAGAAACTCTGCTCCACGTTTCCTCGTGGGAGTATCGAAAGAGGGAATATAAATAAAAAAACTTTGAAAACTCGGAGAACAGAGTGTACACCCACGTCAAAGGTAGCTTCGTACAAAAGTGACGTGTAATAACGTTAGCTTGATTGAAATTTAACAAAATATTGAGCTGCAAAGCGATACAGATTTTCAGACAAGTTTCACCGGGCGGACTAAATAAACAAGTTTAACACCGCTTTTATATTTAATCTATGTAAGGGTAGTATGCCTCGTGGGCGAAAGTTTAATCGAATCACTGAAATTTTTCTTGTTTTTAATTTTTTTAATTATAGGCAATTTATTCGTCAAACTACAGAAAGGGAGTTACAGCTCTGGGCCCTATTTTCCAGGGGCCCTCGTTATAACCCTATTATGCCTACGTTTCCTGAGAATTTGTATAATTCTCGCTATTCCAGCTCCGCCTGCGTATTTGTATAATTCATTTTGCAACGTTACATGCATAACTAATCGGGGATTTATGGGGCGACGAGTGCAGGCTCTACACGTTAAATTCCCATATTAATAATTCCGGGCACGATCGTCGAGTGCTACTGCACGGAATGTGTTAAATTTCCACGGTTGCCCGGCTTGAAATTACGAGGGCTTAGCTTTAGATGAACGTTACCTGGACGCCTAACGTGCAGGGGATGATCTCGAAACAGTGGAGCATCAATTGTTGTACATTTCACTGCTATATCAGATTTCCCCACCTTTCACAACCCCATAAATTGTTCATCGAATGTTTAGAAATCTGAGATCATAGATCATTTTTATGAAAGCATCACAGGTTCTATAAATCCTTTTCTATTGTTATTTTGAATAACGTGAATTGATTGCAGAAAATATTGTCAATTTTGTACTAAAAATCTTAGGAAATATGGGCAATTTTAGGAATTTATTGGAGTAAATATTTTTTCATAAGGATGATTGATTCTATAATATTTTCAAAAATATAGAATATTGTTTCCAACCTTAAAACTAACTTTTGTCTATTTCTTTTTGTTTCAGCCTACAAAGTTGAACGTTTACAAAAATGACGCCGAGAGCTGGGACTACACGACACCAACGTTGGGTGAGTTCCACTATTTCTAACCCTTTCTCTATCTCTCCGTTTCTTATTTATTTTATCATTCTTGATTCTTCTCATCGACGTTGCGTTCGTTTATTATTCACAATTCATTTTCGACGTCGCGCGTAAGAACCCGTGTACCGGAAAAATTTTTCACGTACGCAATAGAAGAATCATTCCCTTTGGGCGCCTCTGTTTCGCGTACGCGAATCTCACGGCTTCCTCTTGTTTCGTGTTCTTAGCTCAGCGAGTAGGAGACGCTAATTGGATAAAACCTAGTCCCGGTACGAGCTTGAAGGGTTTCCGTAAAATGCATTCCTCGTTAGGTTCGCGTATATGTTTGCTAGAACTACTTGGACACGGAAACGTCGATCGAACGTTCATTCAAGAACGCTGGACGCGAGGAAATTAGCCTCGAACAGTGGAACACGGTTCAATTTAAGTTCTACACGCGAATCGTACAAAACACGAGCTCGTTCCAACGGAATTCCCTACGTACAAATATTTCTCTCTTTTTTCGTCCACTTATCTCGAGAGAATTCCATTTGATTGTATTTCTGAACGATAGAGTTGTTTTTCTAACTATAATTAGTCTTCGTGTAATTAAATTGTAGGTGTTATTGTGGAATTCTAATTTACAAAAATTTCGTCTCAAGTGAAACCACCACACAAAAGATACACTTTTTTTTAATGAACTCTTGAATTTTACCTCTGAACGTGAGGGTTTGTGATTTTATAATTGGATTGTCTCTGATAAAGTCACTTATATTAAAGTTCAGATTTTTAATATTACAAACATCATCATCAGTGTCAATATATTTTTCTCCCTTAGTTTTATATATTCAAGAATTCAAATACGTATACTTATGCATCCTAACTCTTCTTTCCTTAAAATTCTATTGTTCTTTTGAAAATATAATTATTATTCATTTAATTTTGATTGAAATTTGAAATAGAAATACATGATCAGAGAAGAATTCTATCGGGGATTGTCTTGTATCAGGAATCTTCCATTAAATTCATTTGCAGAGGTCACCAATGGGAACGGTTCTTCATTCGTATCGATTGCTCGCGTATTCGACGTACATGGCAAACGAGAGTCACACATACTTGTCACGTGTACGTGTGTGCCACGTTTTTGACAAAAGATCGACGCGAAAGTTACGAAGCGTATACGGTCGAAGCTTGAAAACTCGAGGGACGTTCGTTGTGAAAACACGACTGTCGTATCAGTCGATGCGATCCAGAAGGATAAAGGCACTCGTTAGAGCGACACCGATACGATATTTTTTTCCATTTTGAATCGCAATTATTCGATGGCAATTTATTCCACTACGGGCGACAAATTGATGTCTCGCTTACAAGCCAGCGACGAGCGGTCTGTTCGATTCGACGTTTCGAACTAGAATTTTCTTCTTTGACCCAATTTGCCTTTCGGTTCCACGCCGGGACCAGATCCGCTTTTGCAACTGGATTTTAGTTGCAACTCTCCACGTTTGCTAAGTCGTTGAAATAGAATTTCTCTGCCGTACGTTTGCTTTTCCCGTAATGATAGTTTCGATCAAATTGATCGACGATGTATCGTTTATTTTTCGAATAACCCGAAGCAATTGAACGCGCGATAACCGCAAGAAGTTGAGAGATTCCTAACCGGTATCGGTCTCGCGAATCGCGTGCCAGGTACAAAACCGAGACGCGAATCCGCGTAAACGACAAGCGGCCACAGAACTCGAGGAATTCGGTCCAATTACACGCGGCTTGAACCGCGTGTCACTCATAGCCGTCACGGATGTCTTCGAATTTGCAAAATCTCGAAGCAGCCTCAAAGACGAATTTCCCTGGTAATTAGTGTCGCGACTTGGCGACAAGTTTGTTTCGAGAAGAAGACAAATTTTCAGAAACTTTTCCCAATTTATCAATCGCTTCTTCGAAAAAGAACACTGCAATTAGCAGTATTTTTTCCAGAAATAAATCACCTAGAGAGCTCATGATAAAAACTCCATCGCGTTTTGAATGGGTGCTCGAAAGTTGACCCTTGGCCTTCGTTCCATGAAATCGTCGAATGAAATTCGAACGGTAAAAAGATTCAGTTCGTAATTCAAGGCTGGAGAACACCTAAAGGTGCTAATTTCTCGTAACTGGTCGCGATTCACGAGTAACCTTTTCGAGTGGATCGCTACATCAATTAAGCCGAAGATAGGTCAGGTTGGCTGCTGCACTTCTAACCTTTTCCAGCCTGTATCCACGCCGAGGTGATGAAAGTTTCATTAGATGCAGACGCTTGCTTTCCAGCCACCTTCATTTCCGCTAAAGAAACGCGTCCGAGTGCTCCGACTACTTTTCACGGTAATTACTGGTCACGATACTGATCCTTCTGTTTGCTCCCTCCTATCAGTTTCATGATTTTTCGGCTTCTTGTTTGAATAACGAAATGAGAATTCAGAGGTAGAGTACTGTTTCGATTATGGTATTTTTAATTAAAAATTTGTAAATCATACACTTCTCTTTTTAGTTTGATCTCGTGATTCCTTTTTAATTTCTATGCAAGGGTGTTTGATAAAATATGAAAGGTATTAAGATACCAATAAGGTATAAATCTCCCTAGAAGTTTAAAGCATTTCCTAATGAAACAGGAAGACAGAGAGGCAGAATTTAGATGCGTAACACGTGTCAGACAATTTGATTACCCGCGTGCGAATGTGTAGCGGACAAACATGGAATATAAATAGAGGGAATACTTTAGAGCCATTTGTCACGTGCTCGAATATATTTAAGTTTGTCGCACCGTGTTTGGCGAAAATGGACGAACTAGCGAAGAATTAATTTTGGATCAGTTTTGTAGAATTTAAATTCGATAATTAATCAATCACTGGTTATATTTTTTAAATAACCTTTTAAGAACGGAGTTAATCGAGTCTGGCACGCTCGGGTACACCATAAACCTTAAATTTCATGCGTTAAACATTATCTAGACAATAGGGATGGCAGCTGTTCAAATCGAATAAATGAATTCTCGTTTCGTCCGCATACCGTTCGCGTCATTGGTCCCATTAGAGTGTCCCGGGGACGACTTAACGAAAAGTCGTTGCGAGACGATAGCCGCGACGATACGCGGGTAACCCGCTCGATCCCTCCAAGAATAGCGGCTTTTAACGAGACTAGTTAATCTTCCGATCACGTTAGCTCTAATTTTCCGTCGTCACGTAGCCGATCTGTTGTTTCGCTTTGGCAACGGGTGACCAAAATTCGAGGCGTCATTGGCTACCCTCGCGCGATGGCAGACCACAGACAATGCCAACTTACGGATCAAAAAGCTAGGCAAATAAAACTATTTACTACCACTTTTATTGCTGCTTGATGTATAAAACAATTTTGACGAATCCTTGAAAATTCGAGAGCTGCCATTTCGCAGGACTTTTATGTTAGTGTTTCAAAATCAGCCTCTCGATATGCAGTGACTCGAAATTGTATAAATCTTCTGGTAACATCCTCTGTAAGAAACAAAGGAGGCCGAAGGTTCGATTCGAAATGTATAAATTCTTCTATCGGTGGCAGAAGAGATTTAAGTTTCGTAAGCTCGCTCGACCCAGATCAAACGAGAATAAACTTGGTCTATGAGACGAGGCACGAATGCGACGATAAAGATCAATGCTTTTGCATAAAACTTTATAGGATATCCTGATGGCTGGTAGTCTCCGGATAAATGGCGCGAAAAATCGAAACGAGACACCGCGGAAGGTCTTGCAGGGTTATTTCGCTTGGTTCCGCGGCCGGTTAAATCGAATAGGGTTAATAAATTATCGATTACTCGGATTAGGTTCCCAGAGCTTGTCCCGATGATCGTGGATTTAACCGACGATTCTAGGTACACCGAGAAATCTTTTAGATTCTATTCGATCGAATCCCTGCCCGTGTTGATCCTTCGTGTAATAAAATATTGAGATTCGGCGAGGAGACATCGGGGATTCGGGAAATGAAATTCTGCCCTTGAGGTGTCGGAACTTCTCTTCTCTTTGTTGGATTCAATATTCGCCAAGAAACGTTCGTGGAAACTCTGTCAGGGATAAGCAGCCGGTTAACATTTTGACAGACAGTGTCGTGCGTTTGGGATTTTGATGAAATTATAAGAACTGTAATGGATGATGATATGATGCCTCGTGTATCATTTAAACTAGAGTAATAGGAAAGGTATGTCATTATTTAACGCATATTTTCGTTTTTCACTAATTTTATTTATCATTTTTACAATATCTATTTGGTAGATATTTCTCACAATTTCAAATACCTAATTATTAATTTTTCTAATGAGATAAATACAGGAATTCCTAATAAATTCTTATGGAAATTTATAAATAACACTCTTCTATATTTTTAATATTTTATTTCTGTAACTAAATCAAAATCCAGACCTTCTTGTATCGTCATTTAGACGAGTCATGAAATTACCCAAGTTCTATCTATAATTTTTCATTATAATTATAAGATAAAAAAAAAGTATAGATATATAATCAAAGGATCAAACCCATGACACACGTTTCACAGGTTTTTTGTATTCCAATGTAAGGTGTTAATAATAATATCACCTTGGAATAATTGAATGCCGAGTTCGTTATCATAGTCACGCGACATGCTCGTTTTCCGCTCGGAAAACGCTTACGCGGTGAATTCCTGGCTTTTTCTCTTCTCGTTTCACGGACGTCTCGATCCAGCACGCACTCGGGGATCAGGGAACTCATTAATCTAAAGTAGAAATCGTCACCGGTACGATGACACGCATACCGTGGCTTTGTAATTTAAGGGGAGCCCACTTCGGAATACCTGGCATGTAAATATATTCAGACGGACAGTTAGTCGTGACAACACGTGTTCCGTGTCTTATTGCGTTCTGATGCGTCGCATTCAAGCTCCGTCACTTGTGAATCGGGTAGTTTCCCTTAATTGCTTTGCGGAGATTCGCGAACAAGGGTAAACGAAAGCTCCACGAGAACTTGTAACCCTTTCGT